ACTCTTCGCTGAGCATAGTTTTCTTAAATGATTTTTTATTCTGTAAACATATTTTATGTAGTTCTGCTGTAGGTTTCTTACAGAAGTAGTAAGCAAATTCATGGGTGACTGTTCTTGGAAAAGTAATGCAGGAATTGTTCTCAGAAGATGCTGCAGCCTGAGTATTTAAAATACAATGCAGGTCTGCCTTTTGTGTGCCCTTAATCTGAAACCGGGTAATGCGTCAGTATACACTGACTTGTTATTCCGTAGTGTGGTAAATAATTGCATGGACTTGTTCCTAGTGATGCATTTTCTTAGGCTTTTTGTCTTACAATCAGTGATTAAAATGTCATTAGACAACATGTGCATAATCATAATATAAACTATGCAGATCTTGCAGTTTCTTTCTTCTGACATAAATATTCTATCTGTGAAAAAGATGCAATGTAATACAAAGAAATTATAAAACAGGAACACATCAAGGAGAATACACATGAGCACGTTTTTAGCTCAATGTAAATGAATCCATGCATAAACCATGAGAGTCTGAAGATGGCTGTGAGCTCTATCCTGATTTTTACCTTATAACATACTGAAAAATGATCTGTGATGCTAAAAGATGGTTATTTTTGGCAACCTATATCAATTTTCTATTCACACAGCAACTGGTGGCAACTAAAAATAATCCTGGTTCAGTACTAGCTAAAAATCTGGTCACATTTGGCACATGAACAACATGCAGAAATAAAATTTAAGATCGCCTGTTCTGCTATTTCATTCGAACCCACTCATCAAGCTTAGTTTGCTGCCATTTGAAAGCTATTGAAAAGCCATTAACTGGCAGGACTGTGAAAACCGCAGTGCAGCAGCACACCTCAGTGCTGGAAGAATGTGGCTGCAAGTGCACACCAATTAAATCTTTCTATTCCAGGGATGTGGGATTAGGAGCGGTGTCAATCAATTGTGCTACAATAGCACGTGCAGCAGTCATGGTTCAAGACACACAGAGGTTTATCGTAACTCCAGCAGCCGGGTGAGGATGACTTGGAAGCCTCTGCAAGATCCTGGAACAGAACCTACATTAAATAATGTATTCTGAGGTATATTGGATACCTGAGGAAGGGCTTTAAATAATGCATTTTCTGGGCATGACAGTTGTAGCAGAAGAGAATGCTGAAACCTGTAGCAAGACTACAGCCTGAGATGAAAGAATGTCTCATTACCATTTTATCAAGTGCTGTAAGTAACAAAATGGTTATTTTGCTCTTAAAACTGTCTTTTTATTTTCCACGTTGTGTCTTTTAAATGCATATGCAAACAGTCAGAGGCAGATGCTGCATGATGCCAACGTAGTAGTGGGGAAGGGGAGTTGTTACTTTGCATGTGAATATGCAGGCAGAGTCCAGTGATTCTTTTTTTCCTCTGTTCAGAGGCAACTTCATTGTGTGTGTGATAAAGCTCTCATTCTGAACTTCATACTGATCAGCTTTTAAAACTTTTGTTTAAATTAATCACCAAAGAATATAATATCCGGAAAGAAGAAATGCCATTCACAGCATTATGTTAAGGACGCCTTTAAGGACAACCTTGAACATGGCTCTCACACTTTGCAAGGGTGTACAAATGAGAATAGCTTTATAATTTTGAGCCCAGCTCATCATCTACTATAGATCAAATGCTTCAATCCCCTCTCTATCAGAATATTTAGCTATTTGGTGTAACAGACTTAAAAAAAAATAGTAATGAACTTTTAACCTTGAATCATGCAAGCTGCCTCCTTAAAGGCATCCTGAAATTGGGATCTATGCTAAATATATTGATTCAATGCAGAGCAAATTCCTAACAGCATTTTTTTCAAGGCTGCTTCTCTTCCTAGCTGCACATTTTTCAAGCTTTTAGGATTTTCCTTTTAAAGCATACAGGATCTGAGTGGAAATTGCTGGTTCTACATCAGATTAAATGAGTTATTGTATAGGTACTTGTTTTGGACAGCCAGCAGTAGTTTGATAACCATGAATATTTTTTTACTGAAGGACTTGCAAAGCTTCAGACTTCTAATCATTATGTCACAGTTTTAAAATGAAAAATAGCAGATTACTGTAAAAGATTTTCTCTCCAGATTGTGGTCTTTGACGACTTAAGTGTACCAAGGATATTTTTGAAACTATTTTTAAAATACCATGTTACAGTTAAGAAACGAGTAAAGTGGTTCTCTGCTGTTTAAATATGGAATTAAGGTGCCCTGGAAGTATTTTAATAATTCAAGGAAAAATTATTTGTGTGGTTTTCTTCTTGTCTGGATTCAATGGGACTTGTATATGGACTGTTTTTAAAACTAGTGGGAGTTACAAGCCCAAATTCCCTGTTCATGCAGAGAAGCACAGATTAGTTTTACTGCAGTTTTAAAGGTGCATTCTAAGAATAAGTCTTTGAGCTTGTATTAAGACTTGATAAATGCAAATGAGGAATTTGCAACATAATAACTATCTTGAAGATGTCAAAAAGGTATTGTTCAGTCTTTATTCACTTTAGAATTGCTTTCTTAAAGTGAAACTGTAGCAAATCTATATAGGCATGTGAGTGTCAAGAACATATTAAATGAATAACTTTTCAGTGAAACCATAGGAAAGAAATGAGGAGGACAATAAGGTGCTTTTATTAAAAGGTAGAAAATGATGACTATTTGGGATGTTCCTTGCATTGATTAGAAGGCAGAGATGAAGGACTAAAACACGGCTGAGGGAAAGGTGAATGTACAACATTAGTTTTATGTATAATATTTGTCTCTTTCAAATTTGGAATTTTGATTAGTTATTTCTCAGCAAATTGGGGTATTTTACTACACATCTCTTTTCCTATTAAATAGTATGCTTTAGAAGATATTGGGTGCTGGCTGGAGCCCAATGGGATGGCGTTTTACTGCCTGTCCTTTTCAGAATTGGCAAAAGTGCTTCCATTTCCAACTGTAATTAGTGAAGGAGAAACACTTTCTCTGTGATGCTCCCCTGAGCGTTATTATTTGACTTAACATGCCAATATGTTGCTGATATTTTGTGCTTGGCAGACAGCTGGGATCAAAGATGGGCCAGGGCTGCATGCACAATGGCAAAACCAGCAATGTTCTGAGATATGCTGAGAACAGCTGAATCTCACAGTGGTTGGGACATGACTCTTCACACCACACTTTGCTTTCAATCCATTTCATGAATGGTTTCTGTATCAGAAGGAAAAGACACTGAACCAGAGGAAGCATGGTTGCAGAGCACTGTCTCTTGGTCTGCTTTGGGGAGAGGGGAAATAGCTAAAAAACACAAATTAATGTCACCTTAAAAGTAGTGTTTTATGAATTGTAGCCATGTGCCTGGCTTTTGCATGTATTTGCATTTTGGTTTTCTACCTCTGCAGGAATTAGGTGTGGAGATCTGAGCTGAGAAGGGCTATTTAGTTTTTAAAATGTTTTAGTAACATTTTACTAGTAGTCTCTAATTTATTCAGTACATTGCTCCCATTAGAAGATTGTGAAAATGACCTATACTTCACCATGTAAGTCACCATCTTGTCATAGGCTCTTTCAGGCTGGAAAGATTCAATCTTGAAGGTCTCCAGTCCACCATAGCATCATTAATGTTGGAAAAAACCTCCAAGATCACTGAGTTCAACTATTAACCTACCACTGCCAGATCCATGACTAAACATGTCCTTAAGCTCCATATCTGCATGGTTTTTTTGAACAGTTCCAGGGACTGTGATTCCACTGCTTCCCTGGGCACTCTGTTCCAATGTTGACCACGCTTTCAGTGAAGAAATTTTTCCTCATATCCAATCTAAACGTCCTCTGGCACGACTTCAGGTCATTTCCTCTTGTCCTATCACTTGTTACCTGTGAGGAGAGACCAACACCCACCTCCTTACAGCCTCCTTTCAGGTAGTTGTAGAGAGCAATAAGGACTTCCCTGAGCCTCCTTTTCTCCAGACTAAACAGCCCCAGCTCCCTTAGCCTCTCCTCATCAGACTTGTGCTCAAGACCCTTTTCCAGCTCCCTTGCCTTTCTCTGGATATGCCCTCCTTCTCTAAGCAGGGTAGCTGTGTGGTCAAACCAGATTTTCTGGGACCATGCCCAGTGAAGTCTTTCTTCCCAGTAATACCCTGCTGCAGCCATCATGTTGTCTTTAGCTGGCACCTGCAGCATTAACACACAAGCTGTATGTGTCTGCCTCTTTGAGCAGCTCATGTTGTCACTACTTGTGCCCATCTTCTTTTTAGCAGCCAAGTATCGCTGCTGCTCTGAGCTGTCCCTGTCTGTGCTACTGGCTTCTCCTTGGCAATCTGTGAGCATGAGCTGTTTAAAAGAGAGAACAGTGGTGCATAGGAGAGTATCACATCTGCCAGCTGCTGGATACCATTTTATCTCGATGATTTGTGTGACAGACTGTACAAATGAATGTAATTTTGCAAATTAGGCAGCACCTCGATGCTATTTTCTCTCCTTGTATATCTCGCTATGGCATAAATATCATCATTTACGTGTTACGGCATTGGGTTTCCACCTGTGCTCTGGACTTCATCTGAGGGATCTGCAGAGGTAACTACGAAAAACAATACACTACTAAGGAGGCTTAAGTTCATTACTCAAGAGTCTGATTTCCGCTGCAAATGGTGTAGAGGTGCATAAATGCAAACAGAATTAAAACCTTGCTAAAGGGAGTTATAGTCATGCCAGCTGGAAGTCTAAGCCAAGTGAATTTATCCAAATATCAAGATCATCAAATCTGAATATCAGAGACTACTTCTGTTTTTTTTTTTGGTTTATCTTTGCTTCCATTTCCTTTATCTCCATTGTATGAGTTATGAAACACTGAATTGTGCTCTGTTACAGAGCAATGCTTACAGAGATTTGGGATTGAACTACTAATTAGGCAAATTTTATTTAGAATTGAAACAAGATATAAAATAGAGAATTATTCTCTTCAACATCTAGCCCTTATTACCTTCAGCATCTGACTACCTGGCAAGCATTGTCCATGAAGAAAATTAACTAAGAGTACAAAAACATAAAGTCATAGAATGGTTTAAGTTGGAAGGGAACTGAAAGATCATCTAGTTCCAACCCCTCTGCCATGGACAGGTACACCTTCCACTAGACCAGGTTTCTCCAAGCTCCATCCAACCTGGCCTTGAACATTTCCAGGGACAGGGCATCCACAGCTTCTCTGGGTAACTTCCAGTGCCTCACCACCCTCACGGTAAAGAATTTCTTCCTGGTACTGATCTAAACCTGCCGTCCATCAGTTTACAGCCATTCCCCCCTGTCCTATCACTACATGCCCCTGTAAAGAGTCCCTTTTCAGCTCTCTTAGGTGCTGGAAGGCCACAGTAAGGTCAACCCTTCTCTTCTCCAGGTTAAACAACCCCAGCTCTCTCAGCCTGTCTTCATAGGAGAGATGCTCCAGCCCTGTAATGATCTTGGTGGCCCTTCTCTCAACTTGCTCTTACAGGTCTGTGTTCTTGTATGTTGGAGGCCACAGAGCTGGATACAGAACTCATGTGGGGTCTCACCAGAGTGGAGAATCACCTCCCTTGTTTTGATACAGCCTAAGATATGATTGGCTTTCTGGGCTGCAAGTGCACATTGCTGGGTCATGTCCAACCTCTTATCCACCAGCGTGCCTAAGTCCTTCTTGGCAGACCTGCCCTCAATCCATTCAGCCCCCAGCCTGCATTGATACTGGAATCTGTCCCGAGCCAGGTACAGCACCTTGAACTTGGCCTTTTTAAATCTTATGAGGTTTCCATAGGCCCACTTTTCAAGCTGCACTGAAAGATGCACTGAAAGGTTTGGCCTTTAAATTTTGCTATGTCCTATGACATCCTTTGGATGTCTTGTCATCTCAACTATTCCTTTTTTTCTCTGCCTCCTAATCAGAGTACTTAACAAGTCTGTATACTGCAGCAGTGTTTCCTTACATGACAAAAACATTGTCTTGACTTTAGTCTGCAGTGACAGAGACCTTAGTCATATAATTTGTCTTGAAAGGCAGAAGCCAGCAGTAATATACTTACAGATGTCATCTTGTGTTTTTTCACCCTATGTTCAAGGTTTGATAACGAAATTGCTCACATATTTATGAATGAAAGAAGAGTAAATTCTGTGTATTCTTTTCATGTTTTCCATTTTGTTTAATTTTACCGCTCTTATCCAAACCCCAGCTTACTGTTTCAATACATTTTCTGTTTCAATA